CAAATGACACGTTTTATGTATTGCTTAGCAACACAAAAGATGTTGTAAATGTATAAAGTCACTTATGGGAATGATAAACACTAAATGGAGCTTCAGTAGAGTCAGTACTATTTCTTAAGCCTTTCTTAAATACATGGGTATTTGTTAATTTTTTAAATTTTTGTAGCTCCTATCTGATGCATAATAAAGCAGAAAAAATTAATGAAAAAACTCAAGGCTAGAATAATTATTCAGTTTTGAACTGTGGCTTTGAGCCACTATTATCAATTACTGCTTTGGTAGACAAAATGGCATAATCTTAAGAGTATGATTTTATATTCATAATTGTTGTGTTTACATAAGAGTCATGTTCTAAAGAAAGATTAATGTATGTATTTGTTTGACTGAATACAACTTCAAACTCTCCTTAGATTAATAGGAAATATTGAGCTAACATTCCAAACATTTGTCTCATCTCAAATATATTCTTTCTCTTTCCAAAGTGAACAATGAAAATATTTACAGAAAGAGCATTGTAGAGTGCACTCTGAAAAGTACACTTATTAATACTTGTCACTATAATTCTGATACAGTAATTCCTCACAATGAAAATATTCCCTTTTGATTTTTATTGTACTTTTAAACTTTTTATTGTAATCTATATATTTCAATTATTTATGTCATGCTTTTGAACAAATGGTTGAGTTCCCAGGAAAAGGGCAGATGCCTATATACTAGTAGTTATTGAACTTTTGCTTGCCTGTTCTTTCTTCCCTTTAATAACTTCTGATTGAAGCCAAGAAATTCCAGAATGCAGAGATCACATCCTTTTTTCCATTTGTGTTTTACCTAGAATTTCCTAGAGAATTGGAAGCTTAAAAATACTTTGAAGAATGAGAACCATATAACATCCACATGGCTATTGTTTCATAATAAAGCCTCATCTAAAAGGGCCTTATTTGTTGTTGCTCTTTCTTCCCATCCATTTGTCTTTCTCCAAACTTCTGAGACATTATTGTTAGAAAGGTAATATTATTACTTTGCCTCACTATTACTGTTGTTAAACCTTTCTTGAAGGTTATGAGTCAGTGAAATACATTACATTATTTAATCTTCATGAGTCTATTACTATACCCTCTTGCTAGGTTAATTAATTTGTCCAAGATTTCACACACACAGTGAATACATATTACCTTTTTCTTCACTGCCTACATGTTGTGTTTGTAGCCTATGTGCTAAATGAACCAAACCTGTCTTACAGTTCTTAGGAGCAGAGCCTGAGGCTTCCACATTTTGCGCTTTACCACTGACATCCCAGTTCAGATCTGGGCCTGTAAGAAGTGCCTGATAAGAAGAAAGAGCAGTGAAAGAATGACATTTCCAGAGGAAGGTAAGTGGTGATGATAAGACACTCAACAACTATCCTCCGTTCGTTTTAAAGAAGAATTTATTCTCTTATTTTGATTGATATTTTTTTGTAAAATTTCACTAATAATCAGAAGGCCAAATTTCCTAAATTATCTAAGCAAACATTATCTTTAAATTTTTTCTTTCTAGTGACTTAGAATAAAATCTATAGTTCTGAAAATGTAATAATTGCCCTACTGCTTTGGCATTTGTGGATCAGGAAGAATTAAATTTAGAATAGTATTTTTTAGTTTAAAATGATGTATCCCAGTTTCAATTTACTTAAGAAAAGTTAACATTTTTTAGAAGGAACTTTAGAAGTTTTAGAAATAACTTTTATAATCTTCCAAATAAAGTTTCAACCATATAGGATCTTTTTCTTATTTATGAAAACAATCAGCTCAATTTGGGAATGATGCTTAAACATCAATCACTGAGCAGCCCCAGCTATTCCTGAGTCTTCAGTAACCATAAGACAACCAAGGCTCACAGCAAAATTTCGGCTTAACATCTTTTTTATTTTATACCCCTGGTCAAAAGAAAAAAAAAACTACATTGAAATGTTGGGCCTGTATCAAATTTTCTATGAAAATGTTAAAATATTTATTTCTCATAAAATATTTTAGAGAAATTTCTCATGACTGATGATGTATCATACCTCAGATCTATAATCTGACAAGTTCTTGCTTGCATCTAATAAATTCAAACAAGAAATTAAGGCAGAATGACTGGAGTTTGTGTTTTCAAATGATGTCATCCATAATTTCCAGCATACAGCTAGCTTTGCTTCAGTTTAACTTCAGAGGTCTTGAAGAATAAGAGCTTGACTCTTTTTCCAGGAAATTTAGGTTTCATCATTTCATCAGGCTTATCTGGGATTCTCTATTTATGAGCATTAAACATAGAAGAATTGGCAAAATGTGAAGGAATGCAACATCACTCTGCCTTTATTATAGATCACAGAGTTACTACCTCAGTTAAAAGCCATACATAATTATCTATTAGTCACGTGCAAGCTACAGAACCATAGTGCTATATATCTTTTGATACTTTTTTCCTAATATTCATAAAAGTACCTAAAAATCTTGAACTAAATTTAAAGAACTAAGATGTTTGATGTATTATGTACATCATTTCTGAGAAAAAATGTGAACTACTTGGGAATTTCTTAAATTTGATAAAAAATGTTTCATTATGACATATTAAAATAGAAGAGCAAATGCCAGGCCTCAGAAATATGAACTCCAGGCTTAAAGCATTTTAGCTTTCTTGAAAAGGAAAAGTAAAATTTTCAGTTATCATATCATTTTAGATCCAATAGATGAAAGTACAATTGCTGAATGACATATTTATTGCTTTACTTGTGATTTACATTTGTTAAGTTTGACACAATTCTTATTCAAGAAGATTCTTGATATGTGTATATTTGTTTTTTAAATTTCTCTTCTTTCACTTTGTTTATTTTCTAAAAGTTTTATCTTTGAAAAATTCAGATTTTAAATATTTTCCCTTTAAAACCTTTGGGCTTGCAATTGTATTTAAACAAATTATTTAATTCTGTATTTGTGAGTGATTTAAAACAGGGGAATAGATACCTTCACAAATCTTAAAAAGAGTTTTTCAGAGTCTGTAGTCAGCATTTCTATGCATATTTTTTTCTTTCAATGCCTTATGTCATCATAAATGGCAGATTCATTTTTGTGATATGTTGAAACGATTGAGTGGGAGATGTGCCCAATTCAGTCCATCTCCAAACACACTACCCTAAGCTGTATAGATGGACACAACTAGGCTTTCTTTGATGCTTTGGTGATTGCTGTTTTGTTCAGTTTTGGAGGATTTAAAACTATGAAACTCAAAGCTCAAATTTTCACACAGTATTAAGACTATTGCAATCTGTAGAGAGTCTCTTCATGTTACCTAGAGTCACCTGCTTTGGGGACTGCATTCTTCATTCTCCTGCACTTCAGGAATCTTACCAGGATCTATAAGTGAACTTTTTGTGTTATATGTTTATTCTGATTAATTAGAAGTCCTGTTCTTTACTTGTGTTCAATGGGATTAAATTTTGTTTTCTTGGTTAAAAAAAAACAATTTAAAACAAACCCATGAAAGTCTCTTTATTTTCAGCATTAAATTGTTCCATTTGGAAAATGCAATATTGTTCCCCCTCTCATCAGTAAAAGGTGAATGTGTGCAAATGTGTGAGCTTCAAAGTACAGGCTATGGCAGCATAAACATAGCACAGGTGAATGTGTTACACAGGTCTATAAAAGGGCGTTTTCATACAGAACTTATGAGTGACAGATGACTCAGGCTTTCAAAATGAGCAAGAACATAAAATATGTTTTATATACAAAGTTAAGAGAAAGGGAAAGAGGGCATTCAATACTTTTTTTTTTCTAAATCATATTCTTCCTTTTCTTGACGTTTTGGGATTTCCTCAGTATCTGCTTAATTTCTGCAAAGCAAGGATTTCTAGATGGCGCTCTAAAGCGCCTGCCATTAGGTGGCGGCATAAGCCCTTACTGTTTAAGAGCTGTCCCAGGTGCTGAACTCAGTTTAGCGAGACACTCAGCGGTAGCGACCAGGGATTCCACCAAGTTCTCTCTAGAGGTTTGTAGGTTCTGGAAGAAATGCAAAAGTACATACAAAATGCAGGACCTCATTTACAATACAAAGGCAAAAATATTTCTTTTCCTGAATATACACACCACAAATCTATGAGAGGTGACAGTGTTCACTGAAATTAAAAGGGCCGTGGTGTCTGAAGTGTGTGTGTGTGTGTGTGTGTGTGTGTGTGTGTGTAGAATACATATCTACATACTGACTTGGTTTTTTTTCTTTTACTTTGGGATTCTGCTGTTTACCTGCCCTTGTCCTTTAATGCTTCCATTATAATTCGTTTCTCTCCAAAATCCCCAAGGTTGAAAAAAGGAAAAAGTCATAGGCAACACCCCACCTCTCCTAGGGGAGTCAGGACGGACTGTTAGATGTGTTAGATGGAATGAGATTTAAAAAAAAGAAGAAGACAAACAAACTCCATCTTCTGCCCACCAATTAACAATAATTTACAGACTGACCCAAGGTAATTCAGCTTCCCGTTTGGGCTCCACATGTCTCCTTTTCTCATTTCCTATTGCCACTATGGGAAGCTGACTAAGAATTTAACAGAAACATAAGGCAATGAATGGGTAGTTAGAAAAGATTTTTTTCTCTCTCTAGTTTGGCTGGGTGGGAGGCGGAGTTTATTTCTTACAACATTGGTTTGACCAGCAGATCAGTGTGTGTGTGTAAGGAGTTCTGAGTCTGTCTACAAAAACCTACTTGAATGTAAAGACGCTGAGCTTCAAGGACAGGAGGGCGGGGACCCAGAGGAAGGAGACACTAGGGGTTGGGGAAGTGTTAAGGGGGGGTTAGCTTGAGAGGGAGAGAGGCTGGCTGTTGGAGCGACAGATAGAGGAATAAAGGGAGGTGAGAAGGAAGAGACTGAAAAAGAAGGCTAGTGGGACGAAGCAGGAGCTGGCTGAAGAGAAAGAGAAGAGATAGGAGGGGAGAGTGAAGAGAAGGAGGGAAGGAAATAGGGAGAGAAGGGTCACAGAGCGACCGTGGAGGATGGTGTTTCTCTAGTCCAGACACTTCTGGGATTGGAGATTGTTTGCTATTGAGGAGACTTCGGCTCGGCAGCCAGCTGGGCAGCAACAAAGTAAAATGGACAGCGAGAGACAGACCTTCAAGCCTCCCCGCCGCCAAACAGAGATTCAGACTCCGTTCTTAGGCCACCTCCAGCTGAGTGCCCTGGACCACGGGAGCCAAGAGAGAACCTAGAAACTGCTCCTCTCAGATGCCTTCGCCAAAGCAGTAAGAACTTCCTGCTTGAGTCCCTGTATCCCCTCCCCCTGAAACTCCCCAGAAGAGGAGGAAGACCCCAGGGGGAGGGGCGAGAGAGATTCTCCTGCAGCTATTTTCCCCTTCCCTCCCCCACCCCGCCGGGCGCGCAGGCAGGCATGGATATGCAGAGCCCTGGCCAGGGCAACAATACCACATCTTCCCAGGAGCCCTTCGGGACAGGCGGCAACGTTACTGGCATCTCCGACGTGACCTTCAGCTACCAAGTGATCACCTCTCTGCTGCTGGGCACACTCATCTTCTGCGCGGTGCTGGGCAATGCGTGCGTGGTGGCTGCCATCGCCCTGGAGCGCTCCCTCCAGAATGTGGCCAACTATCTCATCGGTTCATTGGCGGTCACCGACCTCATGGTGTCAGTGCTGGTGCTGCCCATGGCCGCTCTGTACCAGGTGCTCAACAAGTGGACTCTGGGCCAAGTCACCTGCGACCTGTTTATTGCCCTGGATGTGCTGTGCTGCACCTCGTCCATCCTGCACTTGTGCGCCATTGCACTAGACAGGTACTGGGCGATCACTGACCCCATCGACTACGTGAACAAGAGGACGCCCCGGCGCGCCGCCGCGCTAATCTCGCTCACTTGGCTCATTGGTTTCCTCATCTCCATCCCGCCCATGCTGGGCTGGCGCACCCCGGAAGACCGCTCGGACCCCGACGCATGCACCATTAGCAAGGACCATGGCTACACTATCTACTCCACTTTCGGCGCTTTTTATATCCCGCTGCTGCTCATGCTGGTTCTCTATGGGCGCATCTTCCGAGCCGCGCGCTTCCGCATCCGCAAGACTGTCAAGAAGGTGGAGAAGAAGGCAGCGGACACCCGCCTGGGAACATCGCCGGCCCTAGAACCCAAGAAGAGCGTAAATGGACAGCCAGGTAGCAGAGACTGGAGGAAGAGCGTGGAAAACAGGGCAATGGGGGCTCCGTGCTCCAATGGCGCGGTGAGGCAGGGCGACGATGGTGCCGCCCTAGAGGTGATCGAGGTGCATCGAGTGGGCAACTCCAAAGAGCACTTGTCACTGCCCAGTGAGGTGGGTGTGGCCCCCTTTGCCCCGGCTTCCTTTGAGAGGAAAAATGAGCGCAACGCCGAGGCAAAGCGCAAGATGGCCCTGGCTCGCGAGAGGAAGACGGTGAAGACGCTGGGCATCATCATGGGCACCTTCATCCTCTGCTGGCTGCCCTTTTTCATCGTGGCCCTGGTCCTACCCTTCTGTGAGAGCAGCTGCCATATGCCCACGCTGTTGGGTGCCATAATCAACTGGCTGGGCTACTCCAACTCTCTGCTCAACCCTGTCATTTACGCATACTTCAACAAGGACTTTCAAAACGCGTTTAAGAAGATCATCAAGTGCAAGTTCTGCCGCCAATGATGATGAGGATGAGGATAGAGGGCGGATAGCCGGCGAGTAGGGGCTACAGGACCAGCCTCATACACTGCCTCCCCTGGCCCTCTGGAATCCACACTTAGGACAGCTTGCTACTTTTCCTCCGATTCTCTCAGCTTCTCCGCCCACGGCTTTCAGATCTCACTCCCTCGCAAACTTCGGTGCACCAGAGACTGCTTTCCGTGCAGAGGCCCGGGATGTGGAGCCAAAGGACCCGGGAAATTCCCAGGGTCTGGGAGAAACGATATGGGCTAAGACTTTGGCCTGGGCAGCAGTTTTAATCCCAGCCATTACCTCCTCCCTGTTCTGTCCCCAAATATTGCCAGTGGAAGTTTAAGGCAGAAAATCCAAACAGAAAAGTAAACTGTACCCTCCCTGCCAACTAAAGGCTTCCACCTCCCTCCCTCCATTTCTAGAATTTTGACTAAGGTTCAGGACTTCCCTCCATTTCTCCCGTTTTCTTGTCATAGAAACGCCCACTCCTTTTTGGTCTCCCCTCCGCCCCGCCCCCCCCTTTTTTTTCTACCGACTCCCATCCCTGTGCACTCATTGCTGACCCGGAAAAGCGATAGGGGCTACTTTCTCTGGAAATTCTCGCCTTCCGGCACAGAATCGCAGAATAACTCTGTGAACGTCCGCCTCCCACAACTTGCTGCATTTTCTTGAACTCAAAGCGAGTGTCTAGAAGGTGTGTGTTAGAGTGAATTTATATGTACAAGGCTGGGACAGAGGGACAGGGCGAGGAAGGAGTGCAGAACATTTTATCCTTTCCTGCCTTGGTGTCAGCACTCACCAAAGAAAACTGGTTTGTCTGGGTTGCGGGCGACTGTCAATCCTAGCATCTCCACTTCTCTACTGCGGGAGGCGCCCGCAGGCCGTAGAGCGCGCGGCGGGGACGCCAGAGGCCTGGGACCCGCGCGCCTCCCGCGCCTTCCGCGGTCTGGCAGTGCGCTCTGCTCGCTCGCCCGGGATTCACCTTGTGTGCGCTTCTCAGCTTTCTCCCGGCGGCGTTGAACATAGAGTTTGCAGAAGCAAACGGCATTAAGTTCAGTGGAGGTTTTGGGACCCTGAAAGCTCTGGGGACTGGGGCTGTGGGGTGCAGAGGCGAGGAGGAAAAAGGCTCCCCGGGGGGGGGGGAGTGGGCCGGGAATGCAGCAGCTCCCCCGTGAAGGACAATTTTATTCATAGAATGTAGACTTTCCCTCTTAATTCACCTTGTTACCACTTTCTGATCGGGTAATAGCTCTTTAGCGGGACCTAACAAGGCACTGGATTTGCTCTGCAGGACATCCAGGACACACTCAATGTTAGCAGAACTTTGGTTTCCAAATAGGAATTCTGGGCTTTCAATAGAATGGGTCCTACTAGACCAACACTATCTATGGTCTCAGAGACAGACAGATACCTTCAATAGTGGGGCTTCAAAGGATTAACTAAAGGGTGTTGCCTCTGGGGTGTCTGAAAATCTCACAGGGGATTATGTTGGCTACCTGGTCTTTCTGCACCAGAGAAACTGATTGGATCGTTTCTGTGCCAGAGAAAGTGATTGAATCGTTTGAATTTGTGGAACACTCCAACTTTTCTGTCCCACAAGTTCTTCCAGCCTCACCACTACTGTGGAGATGTCTGTTAGAGCTAGCTGCCTCTAGAAAGGGAAGTTATTTAGGTGCTCCCTTTGAATGTAAATTTCCAACCATGTGATGGGTGAGGGGTTTTCATTTGCCAGTAATTACACAAAGTTGTCGATTCTTACTCCCCTCTCCCTTCAACTGTACCTTTTGAACGTTTGAATCTGGTATTTTGAGAACTGTGTTGCATTTTTACAGATTGCAAAAGTTGCCAATGAAATGTTCACTCGTGTTTATAAATAGGTGAAAGGACAGCTGTATCTCTTGAAGCCATTGTATTGTTTATCAAACTGAACAAAGTCTACATTTGATGTCCTTTTCGCTAATGGAAATTGGGAGTAGATACCACATCCTGCTTAAACAGAAGAAGTTTAAGAACTTGAGGATGGCTTTTCTATGCATGTGTAAGGCTTATAGGGGGCTCACCCATAAAATCATTATTTGTTTGAAAATTCAATTGCATTTTTGTTCACTATGATCTAAACAGCAATATGAGGAGGAAACAAACTTTTCTGTATGTTTTCTAAATTTTTAGAACAAGTTATTTAAAATAATTCAAACTTCAAATTTGCTACTCCAAGGTATGTCTTGGCTGGCAAATATTACATTGGAAATTAAGACATATGTTTATTTGTGTTTTTCACCAAATTGTACGGCCACAGGTTTGGGTCATTTGTTCCTGTGTTGGAGACTTTTACACAAGATTGGGAAAGGACATCCAATTGGAGTATAATTGCCAAGCAATAGAGAAATTAGAGAAATAACTGCAATAGCTGCACACCTCTGAAGAACCCCTGATGCTTTTTTAAAAGTACTTGTATTAAGGTATTTATGCATCAAAATTGGCCTTCACTTTTCCCTTTGACCATAAAGGACTTTAATAATGCCAATGCTACAATAAACTGACACCAGTAGCATATGTATCTTTATTTCATCAACATCCCTGTCTATTTGTATCTACTCATAAAAAGTTGAAATTAAATGTGAAAATAGTTACTAGGACAAGATTCTGCTATACAGGTAAGAGGTCTGACACTTAGAGAAATGTTTGATTTTCAAGACCCAAACTCATCCTCGCTGAGTGATTTCTTGAGGAAAAAGAATTCTGTCTCTGGAAAGAGAATATTACATTTCATGGTTTAGGCATGAAACCATGCATTTTTCCTGTCTGACACTTGCAAATAAGTTTTAGGCGTCTGTCTAATTAATGTGCACAGAAGGGAGACATGTAGGGGACAAATACAGCCTCTGGTAGGAACAGCAGGGGCTCATCTTGTGTACTTAAAGCAGTGGCAATGCTGAGACCCCCCCCCCCACCTTCTCTGACTTCCCTATAACACCCAGCTAGAAGAAAATGACCGTCAATGGGTTCAAAAGAAGTAGCACATTGTTCAGGGTTTGTCATTTCAAATAAAAGTGTAGGGGCATTTTCTTTTCTGGTTGGATCTCACTTGATAGCAGGGTTCTGGATATAAGACTTACCACTATGTTAAAAATAATTCTTGTGTTCTTTTTTTCATCAGTAACACCTCGTTTCTATTGTTATGTTTGCTAAACCTACTGTTTTGTGGTGTCAGAATGATAACTGCAGGCAAGGAAAACTCAGTTGAGCCTCAAGGGTAAACCAAGGTCAGAGCTATTATGGCAGAGCAGAGGACACTCAGAAGCTGCCTTTGGCCTGGTTTAGGCAATGTATATATATAAAACATTATCTCAATAAAGAAAAGTAAAATAAGGATTGAAAAATGAGAACTCTGTGGAGTTTCTTTTGAAAAAAATTATACAAATATATCCCTGACCTTAAGTAAAATGTTGGATTTGGCACAATTGTCTTTTGGAACATAATATTCCCCTTCTTGTTCCTTGTTCTCTCCTCTGGCAACTCTTCATCCATGAAACAATGTTTTCTACAGGACTTTTTTAGCACCACAACTTAGAGAGGGAATTGTTACCAGTCACTGACAATGTGACCAACAAGATTAACCCATTAGCAGTGGTCACACATCAGCCACTACTTGATAATGCTAAAATATGGAATTACAAATAAAATAAGATAACATTACTCTGAGGAGTTTTTAACCTATTAGGGTATGCATGAACACGCTATTAAGGAAGGATCATGCAAACAAGATGAATCACAGGAGTTTCGCTTTGTAATCACTCAGAGGACAAAGACTACTCTGGCCTGGGGGTAAGTAGGGAAGAGTGGATAAAGAAGGCTGTGTAGTGAGCATCCAGGATTGAATTCTGGGCAGATGGAAGGTGATACAAATTGGCAGACATTCTTCAAGAGGTGACAAAAGACTGTCTGATCCCTGTTTCCTGGCAAGTGGGTGCTGAGAGGGAATGTTTGTCTGGATGTTGATTAAAAAACAGGGTTGATTATGTAGGTAATGATCTTATAAAAAGAGCAGATCTAAAATCTCTATGGGTTGGGTCAACCTAAAAGGTCCAGGAAGAGAGAGAATATGAGTCTGAAGGCAAAAGAATGAAGATTGGGGAAACTAAATAAGAGGAAAATGTTTTGAGCAGAATAAGGGTAGAAAAGATGACAACAGAGCCCAGAGGTAGATATAAGACAAAGAATTCACTCTGAGGTAATGTTTACAAATTGCAACAGTGATTTTCACAACACACTATCTAAATTTGGGGTAGCAGATCTTTTTAGGGGGATAGTAGATCATGTTAGTAACCGATTAGGGATGTGAGGGTGATCTGGCTGTGACACCTGTCACCTCATTGATTGCTAGGGTTGATCAGCTGATTGTGTGTCTTTTTCAAAGCTGTGCACTTGGTTGAAGAGGTCAACCTTCCCCGACAGAAGAGGACCATTCTCCTGTCAAGGGCTTACTGGCTGTGTTCTCCTGCTAAGGCCACAAACAGGCACTCATAAATTCCAAATAGCCCATTTTAGCTGTAACAGAAGATTTACACAGTCATGGGTACATATGGAGAAAAGGTGCTACAGATTCTCCGAGGCACTTAAATACCAAATAACAAAGCTAGAACAGTTAGTGCTACCACTAGTGTTGAAAGCAGAAGTGTTCTGTTTGGAGGTGATTTCAGTGATGTAATTGTGAAGCAATAAAGGATGGGCGGTGGGAGGCTGGTAGAAGAAATGGAAAACAGGTATAACCATGAAAAAATGATTTAAAGAAAGAATGGTCAGGACTTGGTGTCTGTGAAAGAGAGAGAAAACTGAAGATTCTGATAAAGTTTTCATCAGAGAGATTTCAGTGAATGACAGAGAAGGGAAAGTCAAGGATCTTTCCTTTTGTAGCTTTATCTGTAAATGTGAAAAGGCTTTGTTCTCTGTGAAAAGAAGAGCCAGCCCAGATGGCAGGGATCTGCTGAAAAAGATATTGATTGATGTCACAGCATTTGAACAATCTGCCATTTAGGTGAGTATGCTAGGAATGCTACTGCACAGAACAGAAGATGGATCAATTCC